TGAGAGACGTTGACGTGACTGAGAGACTTTGAAGTGACTGAGAGACGTTAAGTGACTGAGAGACGTTGAAGTGACTGAGAGACAGTGAAGTGACTGAGAGACGGTGAATTGACTGAGAGACGTTGAAGTGACTGAGAGGCGGTGAAGTGACTAAGAGACGTTGAAGTGACTGGGAGACGTTGAAGTGACTGAGAGACGTTGAAGTGACTGGGAGACGTTGAAGTGACTGAGAGACGTTGAAGTGACTGACAGACGGTGAAGTGACTAAGATACGTTGAAGTGACTGGGAGACGTTGAAGTGACTGGGAGACGGTGGAGTGACTAAGAGACGTTGAAGTGACTGGGAGACGTTGAAGTGATTAGAGGCGTTGAAGTGACTGACAGACGTTGAATTGACTGAGAGACGTTGAAGTGACTGGGAGACGTTGAAGTGACTGAGAGACGTTGGAGTGACTGAGAGACGGTGAAGTGACTGAGAGACGTTGAAGTGACTGAGAGACGTTGAAGTGATTGAGAGACGGTGAAGTGACTGAGAGACGTTGAAGTGACTGACAGACGTTGAAGTGACTGACAGACGTTGAAGTGACTGAGAGACGTTGAAGTGACTGAGAGACGTTGAAGTGACTGAGGGACGATGAAGTGACTGAGAGACATTGAAGTGACTGAGAGGCGTTGAAGTGATTGAGAGACGGTGAAGTGACTGAGAGGCGTTGAAGTGACTGAGAGACGGTGAAGTGACTGAGAGACGTTGGAGTGACTGAGAGACGTTGAAGTGACTGGGATACGTTGAAGTGACAGAGAGGGGAAGTGACTGAAAGACGTTGGAGTGACTGAGGACGTTGAAGGGACTGAGTGACACTGAAGGGAGTGAGAGATGTTGAAGTGACTGAGAGACGTTGAAGTGACTGGGAGACGTTGAAGTGACTGAGAGACGTTGAATTGTTTAGAGGCGTTGAAGTGACTGAGAGACGTTGAAGTGACTGAGAGACTTTGAAGTGACTAAGAAACGTTGAAGTGACTGGGAGACGTTGAAGTGACTGGGAGACGTTGAAGTGACTGAGAGACGTTGAAGTGATTAGAGGCGTTGAAGTGACTGAGAGACGGTGAAGTGACTGAGAGGGGAAGTGACTGAAAGACGTTGGAGTGACTGAGGACGTTGAAGGGACTGAGTGACATTGAAGGGTGTGAGAGATGTTGAAGTGACTAGGGGACATTGAAGTGACTGAGAGACGTTGAAGTGACTAGGGGACGTTGAAGTGACTGAGACACGTTGAAGTGACTGAGACACGTTGAAGTGACATGGGGACTCTGAAGTGACTGCGAGACGAAGTGACAATGACGTTGAAGTGACTGAGAGACGAAGTGACAAGGGGACGTTGAAGTGACTAGGGGACGTTGAAGGGTTTGAGTGACGATGAAGTGACTGAGAGGCGTTGAAGTGACTGCGAGACGAAGTGACAAGGACGTTGAAGTGACTGAGAGACGTTGAAGTGACAAGGGGACGTTGAAGTGACAAGGAGACGTTGAAGTGACAAGGGGAAGTTGAAGTGACTGAGAGACGTTGAAGTGACTGAAGGGCGTTAAGTAGATAAGGTACGTTGAAGTGACTAAGAGAAGCTTAATGAGTGAAGGCCGCTGAAATAACTAAAAGCTTCAGATTTGCGTTGGAGCTTCGATAGAAAACCAGAGTTGTGGACAGTCTTTGAATATCTGTGACCTCGATTTATATCTACTTACAAGCGAGAAGGCATTAGACTTAGACAGCTATTAAAAGCTTATTTCGCAAGCCACTTCTATACATATACGCAACTGAAAAGTACTCTGCTGCATCCTATCACCGTCTCTGAACTGAGGTTTCCTTGCATCCGGGAGTGAGCAATATGTGTACCCTCGAACAAACTCATAGAAACTCTGTAGTTCTATTTCGGGGTCTCATAGTCTTTCATCCGTGAGACAGAAATACTCTAATGCAGGGAGGGTGGAAGGAAGGAAGGAATGAGGGAAGGAAAGAAGAAGAAGAAGAAGAAGAAGAAGAAAGAGAGAGAGAGAGAGAGAGTTTTATTTAGGAGACTTATAGTCTTTCATCCGTGAGACAGAAATACTCTAATGCAGGGAGGGTGGAATGAATGAATGAATGAAAGAAGAAGAAGAAGAAAGAGAGAGAGAGAGAGAGAGAGAGAGAGAGAGAGAGAGAGAGAGAGAGAGGGGGGGGGGGAGAGAGAGAGAGAGAGAGAGAGAGAGAGAAAGAGAGAGAGAAACCGACAAACAAACAAAAAGACAGACTGACAGACCAGAAAAATCAAACACACAGAAACAGGAATCCAAGTTAACAAGAAACCAGTCTCAACAAGGACTACAGCAACACGAAGAACAAGCAAAATACGCTTTAACTGGTAATTCACTTAGCCTTTCGAGAATGCCCACTAATAGCTTTACCGGCGCACGATAAGGAAATTCGCCGAGCCATTGTGAAGGGGGCAAAGCTCATATCAACCCTCATTTTGTCAGTGAATGAGGTTCCTCCAGGAGGTTCTTATATAATCGGTGGGTTTTTTTATACCGTTATGGGTATTATGATCATCATTATCATTATTATTATTGTTGTTGTTGTTCTTCTTCTTGTTGTGTTGCCATTTTTGTTTTAATCGTCTAAGTTATTACTTTATGCTAGACTTATTATTATTAGTATTACTACTACTACTGCTACTACTACTTCGTGATCACTAACATTCTCTTTAGTTTTGTTATTATTGTTTTTGTTATAATTATTTATTCTTTTTATTATTGATAATATATTTTTTCTTTATTATTTTTATTATTATTATTATTATTATTATTATTATTATTACTATTATTATTATTATTATTATTATTATTATTATTACTGTCATCATTATTATCATATCATTATTATCATTATTATCATTATTATTATTATTATTATTATCATTATCATTATTATTATTATTACTGCTATTGTTATCATTATTATTGTTAATGTTAATTATTATTTTTGTTGTTATTTTTTATTATTATCGTTGTTATTATTATCATGAATGAAATAGAAGTTTAAAATCTTAGACGTTGTTATGATATATGCTTGTTAGAACTGATCTACTTTATGTGTGTATATATAAATATATAAATATATATATATATATATATATATATATATATATATATATATATATATATATATATATACATATATGTATATATGTATATATATATATATATATATATATATATATATATATATATATATATATATACATATATACATATATGTATATATGTATATATATATATATATATATATATATATATATATATATATATATATATATATATATACATATATACATATATGTATATATATATATATATATATATATATATATATATATATATATATATATATATATATATTAATATGTGTGTGTGTGTGTGTGCATTTTTCAAACACTTTTATACTATTTGAAGAAGTTTTTAATCTTATAAATGAAAATTGAAAAATGTATCATCAGTATGATGCAGAGAAAAATAAGAAAAATTAATAGAAAAAGAGAAGAAGGATGAAGAGAAAAAGGGCATATCAATGAAAAAATAAACAAAAATGAAGATCAATAAATACTCCTCCCCCCAAAGAAAAAAAAAAAATAATAATAATAATAATACACGTAAACACACAAACACTAAATTCTAAACCCCGTACACCATTCTAAAAATATTATCCCAAGCTCGTTCGCCTCACACGAAACCCGAACACGAATCATAAAGGTATATATCCAACTCCATATAATTATATTGAACACGAAATCAAGATTCGCATCACGTTCTCAAGTACACCTACGCGGGGACAGAGAACGTGAGCAAAGTTCTATTTGAATCCGTTTAATCTGGCATGATCTTTTTTTATTGATGTGATTTGGTGCACATGCTCGTGAATATCTTTTAATAGTCTAAATGAAAATTACTTGTTTTTGTCCCGTCACAGTAACGTGGGAGATAATACACTATGTTGTTTTGTGTGTGCGTTATTTAGAATTTTTGTTTCACTATCTTTATGACAATATACATATATATATATCGTATTATCGTCATCGTCGACGTCACTGCCATTGATGATGCAATTATTTTCATTAGTGTCATTGCCATTGCTATTACCCTCAACTTTCAATGTCGTTATCAATTAACAGTATTATTATCGGTATTGTTATCGCTATTACCCATCATAAGGTTATCCCAATCAATTAAAGTTAAATCACAAGGGCATGCCTCAGCACAAACACAGACACACACACGCACACGTACGCACGCACACACACACGCACGCCCGCAGGCACACACACACACCGCACACGTACGCACGCACACACACACGCACGCACGCAGGCACACACACACACACACACACACACGCACACGTACGCATGCACACACATACGCACGCACGCAGGCACACACACACGCACACACACACACACACACACACACACACACACACACACACACACACACACACACACACACACACACACACACACACACACACACACACGCACGCACCAGATATGTGTATGTATATATACATACATACATACGTACATACATATATACATATATATATATATATATATATATATATATATATATATATATATATATATACTTATAATGTGTAGGGATATATATGTATATACAATGCAACGGAGAACCAGGGCTGTGATAAACATCTTAATTGTAAACTTTTCGAAAAGTGAATCTCCATCATCAGTACTAGAAATAAACAACGACAAAAATGTAAATAGAGAAACAAGAAATGGGTAACAAAATGGAAGAAAAGGGGGGCAGATACACTGTGGAAAAAAACAACATGTATATGAAGTTGAGAAACATACCTCAAAGATGTGAATGCTCATTATGTTAAGTGAATTGCACGTAAACAACTGGATGGCTGTGTTGTTGGAGATGGACAGAGATTCTGGGAAGGTCGAGACTGTTTAACGTTGTGGACGGAATTCTGTGTGTGTGTGTGTGTGTGTGTGTGTGTGTGTGTATGCATGTTTATAAATACACACACACATATCTGGTGTGTGTGTATGTGTGTGTGTGAGTAAAAAAGTCTGTGTGAATACTGGCGGGCAGTGGAGAAAGATGGTCTGCTCAGAGATAGGTTAGTTCTCACAGATTTACCCAGTATTTTGTGTGTAAACGTAAGTGTAGACGATCCAATATACTTAGCATTATATCTAGGACAGTTAAATATATATACGGTATTTGAATATAGTTCTGAGGGCAGAGGCATCATCTTCTGAAAGAAAGAGTTAATATGATAGTTGATAAATACGATGTTGAGACTGATCTGTGGGTACGATTTATTTAGTGCCACATAGTTGTTCACGGATGGTGAAGCTTACAGTAACTTTATGTACCTAGTTACTTTATGAGCATTATTGAGTTTTGATGATTAGCATTGTTTATTACCTAAGAATGATCTAAGAGTTTGGAAAAAACGTCAAGGTTTCCAATTTGACTTATTACTAATATTATGTTTTTGTATTATTATAATCATTATTATTACGATTGATGTGATACTGTTAATTCTACATTTCATAAAATCTTAAGAGACTCATACCCAAACCAGTGAAAATAGATGTTCTTTGTAGAAAGGCGTTTTCCTCCTCTCTTAAATTTTGAATAACCTTGGTGCATTGTTCTATATGGGCTGAGCTTTGTAGAGATTCTCTGCAATGCTCTACATAGATATTGTCAGCAATTGCAGATTTTTTTTTTCTAAACATGCATTGACTGTATCTCTGTAAATATTAGTTTTTAAGGATCTGACAGGTTCTTTTCAAATGAAGAAAAAACTGACAAAACTTGATTTTCGGGATCGTGGACCAAAATCTAATCCAAATAATAAAGCGTCCTTTTATTATCAATTAGAATTCTGTCCGAGAAGTTGAATATTAGATTGCTTACATCGACCGTTTTGCTTATGTCAGTGCCCAGTTTTTTAAACCTTCTGTGATGGACTGCTTTAAATTTCAGATTTATTAATGTAGAAGTGCCTTTAAAATCAATCAAGCTGACTTTTGATTTTAATTTGTAGGCTTTTAATTTTACAGTCAAGAATTTGAATAGCGATGATTTATAAGTATCTGTTGAAAGGAATGGCGTCGTTTTAATTTGAGGAAAGTGGTAATCTAAAATAATTCAGAAATTTACCACGTTACCTCTCCCCTCCTCTTTTATACCCCCTCCTCTCCCTTTCCCCATCAGCCTCCAGGCTAGTACAGTGGTAACGTGTCGGCTTCTCATCCGAGGGGTCGGCGGTTCGCGCCCCGCCCAGGCACGAGAAGTTGCAACTGTCCCCTGAGGGTTACTGCTGTGGCTAGGCACCACGGTGAGAAAGAACAAAAGCCGAGTCAGCACCTGCTGAAACACTGTCAGCGAGTCGATATTAGTCGACACAGGCCGGGCTCCCCTCATAGCCCGGGCAAGGTTCAGCTTTGTATATCGGACTTATCCCTATCCTTTCCCCTTTAGACTTGAGGATGGAATCCAGGAGGATTTCGAAACTGTAGTCACACTTTTAATAAATCTAGTTTTTTTTTGCATTGTGGATTTTTCTACCATAGTATCAACATAGTACTATACATACATACATACATACATGCATACATACATATGACTGCCGCGATGGTCCAGTGGTTAGAGCACTGGCCTCCGACCCTCGTGGTCGTAAAAATGCCTGCGCCCCGACTGCTGGCTCGAGCCCGATCTCACGGCGAGAAAACTACATACCGCCTAGAGAAGTCAAACGCAGGTGTCGTAGAGGAAGTCACCGCCGTGCCACACGAACCGCGGTTGATTAGGAAGGGCATCCAATCAGGCAAGGGTGACACTGCCATATAACCTGTCAATTCGAATTGAGAGAGGCCTATGTCCTGCAGTGGAATGAATGGCTGTTAAAAAAAAGTATATATATGTGTGTGTGTGAGTATTCATATATATATATATATATATATATATATATATATATATATATATATATATATATAATATACATATATATATGTATATATATATATATATATATATGTATATATATATATATATATATATATATATATATATATATATATATATATGATTGAAAAGAACTCTCTTTACAAGGCAAAAGTGAAGATATTCATTCTCCTCCATACCTTTTCCTACACACTAAACGCATCCTTCCAATTCAGAATTCTCTCGCATGTCTGAATCATGTTAATGCCTATTAGCGTTCCCTTAGGTAATCAACGAAGTGCAACGGGAGAATACATTAGAACAACAGCTAAGATACATTTGTGGGAAAGCAATAAATACGTTAGGAATGAGAGCGTTAGGCATTTGTTTTTGTGTGGGTTTCGGGGGTTAAAAACTTCATCGGAATCTGTCTATAATCATGATATTGGTGTTACGTATAAAAAAAAATACACTTAAGGATTTCTT